ATTTAGCTAGCTAGCTAGCTAGCTACTCATCCTTAGAGAGAGATAAACGGCTAGCTAGCTAGCTAGCTAGCTGTGCATCTCTCTAGCTACCTAGCTCTTTATCGATCTATCCAGCTAGCTATTTATCTATCTAGCTAGCTAGCTGTTTATCCATCTAGCTAGCTAGCTGTTTATCTATCTAGCCAGCTGTTTAGCCATCTAGCTAGCTAGCTGTTTAGCCATCTAGCTAGCTAGCTGTTTAGTTGAGTAACTCCAGTATTCACTGGGAGTTTAGGGTTTCACGTTGGGGGTTAGGTTTAGGATTTTGCATATAGACTCTGAGCTAGCTACACAGCGCAGTAGCTAGCCAGTAGCTAGCCAGCAGCTAGCCAGCAGCTAGCCAGCAGCTATCCAGCAGCTAGCCAGCAGCTAGCCAGCAGCTAGCCAGCAGCAGCTAGCCAGCAGCTAGCCAGGAGCTAGCCAGCAGCAGCTAGCCAGCAGCTAGCCAGCAGCTAGCCAGCAGCAGCTAGCCAGCAGCTAGCCAGCAGCTAGCCAGCAGCTAGCCAGCAGCAGCTAGCCAGCAGCTAGCCAGCAGCTAGCCAGCAGCAGCTAGCCAGCAGCTAGCCAGCAGCTAGCCAGCAGCCGCCCAGGCAAGCACAAGAGAAATATATAACTGAGGATAGCAACGATATGCAGCAGAGTTGAAATCCTTATAAAAAAAAATTTGTATGAGGAGACAGTACAGCCCCCAGACAGCAGCAGTGTGGGGCTGGGGCTCACGGGGCTGGAGACAGAGCAGAGGAGACAGTCTTATATAAGGTGCAGCGCATGCAGCAGCAGCAGCAGCAGCAGCAGCTGCTGCTGCTGCTGCTGCTGCGGGAGTACAGATGCATGCATAACAAAGCCCCATGAATGCATGCATCGATACTATACGGTTGTTAAGCAGCTACTTGGCTAACAGCTGCATGCATGCATGCATGCATGCATGCATGCATGCATGCATGCATGTGTGCATGCATGCATGCATGCATGCAGGTATATACATATAGACCTCACACACATAAAAAAAAAATATCTAAAGGAGACAGAAAGGAGAGAGAAAGGGGGAGAAGGAGACAGAAAGGAGACAAAGAAAGCGATAAAGAGACAAGAAAAACAAAAGAGACAGAAAGGAGACAGAAAAAAAAACAAAAGAAAGAGAAAGGAGACAGAAAAAAACAGAGAGGAGACAG